ATAAACGTGTATTAAATTCGATGTACAATTAGAAATGTTCAATATTTTAATGAAATAACATTAGATGGAGACATAAAAATCATTATATACTTGTACCTTCTTATGATAACTATTTTAGGTGACTGACCACGCTAACGGCTAGTTTTTAAACAAATAATATAGAGAATATAAAAATATATATGGTAACTTCTAAAAATCTGTCGGGAATTCTAAATATATGCTGTTTTAAATATTTTTTGATTCTGAATACAGGGGCAAGCGCATTTAACATTGAGTAAATGTAATTGGCCGCTATGTTAACTGAAACCGTAATCCCACACTTATTGCTTTCCAGCAATTTCAAGTAGTAGAAAATACTAGAAATATTTCGCAGCCGGTGTAAAACTATTTAAGGCCGAAGAGAGAGCATCTGCTCTGAGTTGTTTAGTTAACTGCTATGTGTTATTGTTGCGAATTCAGCGTCAGATTGGATTAGCTTTCTTTTTAGATATGCTTTGCATTACGTTCTGTTTAACGTTCTCAGTAGTTTGAAGCCTACCTGTTGATTATACTATGAACACTTGTACGAATATTTTTGTGGTAAATTCCAAAGTTATGAAATATTTCTTTTGATAAAAAAATTAATTTTATTGACCAATTACCGGACTTATACATTCAGCCTGTTACGAACCCATACGCACTCAACAATATGATAAATTGAAAAAAGACTGAAAAAAAAAAAAATAAATATCTATGCCAAAACTTAAAACTGCATCGGGAATTCTAAACATATGCTGCTATGCAGAATTTAATATTTTGTGGTTTTGTTGTTGAACCGTATGTGGTGTAGAAAATTATGCTTAATAATAAAGCAAAAAATACAAAAACAATTCTAGTAGAAGCGTGTGCAAGAGCATATTGATAGCCTGAAATCTCAGCGAGATCGGGAAAATCCTTAATAAACCCTTCCGAACGATTGTTGAAATCTAAAAACTTTCTTTTTATTTTATTTTTCTTTTAAGGTTCATTATGCTTGTATTTAATACTACTAACTATACGTAATTATTTATTTGCTTGTTAACAGAGTAATTAATGGTTTAATCATAATTATGCCTTTTCTGGAATGATGCACACTGTCCAGAAAGAAAAATGTGACAATTCTATATCTCTTCGGTCTACTGGACTGATTGACGAAATTCAAATTGCGTTTTTCATGTCTTGAAAGCCCGACTTAGAATATGTAGTACATTTATATACAGCAGTGTTCTAATATAGGTATTTTGACACAAAATCGGACTTTTTCTGAAATGATATGCCAATTATTTTCCCCTCTATATTTCGATTCTACGACTCAAATTATGCCTAAAAATTAAATTTTGTAAAATTGGGTGCGACATTTACGAAAAATTCCAAAATTTATCTTGGCGCATTTTTTTCAGTTTGCGCCAAGAATGATTCACTTGGCGAACTTCTTAATTTATAGCAACCTATTTTTCTTTCCTTTATTTTCATTGTGCACGAGCGGGTAAAAAAGTCATCGTTCGTACTTTCAAATAATTTCAACAAAGTGCATAAACCACATTTGACGTTATTATCGCTTGTAACAAATACGCCAAATTTCAAAACTCTCCAATATGTAAATTCATATATTTCTTAGAAAATTTTGAATAAAAAACTCTAATTTTTTGCAAGTGTGCGTAGAAATACATCTACTTTAAGATGTCAGAAATTTTATAGATACAAAAACATTTTTCGAAAAATATTTAAAAATAAATCATAAAAAATGTGCGAATTATATTTAGATTATGCCTAAATTTCGAATTCTGGAAGAAGGAATCAAGTAAATTTAATAAAAAAGAGATATTAATAAATATATATCAAATTCAATTAACATTGAGGAGCTAAAAGTTTGAGAGCTAATTTTTTAAAAACTACTCGTACGATTTTTACAAAACTTGGCAAGTTGGCATAATTTGAGTCGTAGAAACAAAATATGGAAATATTTGCCATGTAATTGCAGAAAACGTCCGAATTTGTGTCAAAATACCTATATTAGAACAAAGCTATTTATAAATCTAATACATACCCTAAGTTGCGCTTTCGAAACATGAACAATTTGAATTTCGTCAAACGGTCCAGTAGAACAGGAGATATAGAACCGTCCCTTTGCTTTTTGCGCAATGTACCTTGGCAATGGCTTGGTCAAGCTTTGGAATAGTATTTAATGTTTTTTAAAATTTATTTCAGATTTTGTACAAAGTTAAAGAATTTTTATTTAATACAGTCAAAGATTTCAAAGCCACAAATGCCAATACTGCTCAAAATGAAACACTGTAGCTTCACTAATTTATATTGATGCAGGGACGTGTAAAATACACATTACTCTTGCCGGGATTCGAACTTCGGATCTCCCGAATATGCGCCGAGTGTGCCTCAAGTTACACCACGAAGGCATGCGGAAAGGAGGGAGGAAATAACCTTATATGCACCACCTTTTAAGGGCAGTTGGTTATTAAGGAGCCCAAACGCCAAATCCTGCTGATGGCGAATTATCTTTCGCTCACCTTTTTAATCCGGACACCACTTGAAGAGGTTTCTACAGAGTTCTAGAACTGTCAGGAAACTGAAGCTACCAGAAATGCAATAGCTGGATTCGAACTCCGAACCTCCCGAACACGTGATGAGCGTGCTTCCAGTTTTACCACGATAGCATGCTAAATACCTTATACAAATTTATAGAAATACCTTATAACATTTTTATCTCCAGTGCTTTAAACTTTTGCCATTCAGCAAAATATAAAATATTTATTTTCAATCATCAATTTCGGCTATTTGAAAGCAATGTGTTGTCACCTGCCTCAAACAGAATACTTTTTATATCCATGCGCTTGTGTGTTGCCATTCAGTAAAAGATATTTAACTTTCAAATTTAGCCCACCAGCGGCCGAGCGGTAACGTCGCTGAACGCTGGTAGTTCGGTCCGAGGTTCGAATCCCGCGAACGGGCTGGCTGCATGGGTGTTTTCATGGTTTTCCCTATGTGTAACGTGTATACGAGCCAGTTTCCCTTAGAAAGCCCTCCACGAAGGCATCCCTCATCTTAGGCAAATAGCCCTCGAGGCTTTGCCATATTCACACACACACACACTTTCAAATTTAATTTGTCACTGAGTAACAAGTCAAATGTCTGAAAAGCAATAAACGCAGTGCTTAAAAATACTTTTTCTACCTTTATCTCTGATTGATTTAAATAAAAATGCATTTAAATCATCGGATGTCTATTTAGAAATATTAAATACTTTCATGAAACAATACTAGCTAGACTTATTAAAATCATTATATAGTATTTTCTTTTTTATAATAAATCTTTTAGGTGGCTGGTGGCTCGAGCGGCTAGTCTACAATGAAACAATGTATCAAATATAAAAAAGCTGTGAGGCAACTCGTTACACTCTATCGAAAATTCTGAAGATATGCTGTTTTTAAATATTTTATGATTTTGCTTTTGAACTAGACTGCATATGGCGTAACAAAGCGAGGAAATCGAAGCTCAGTAATTACGTTAAAAAGAAAAAAAAGTGTGTTAGCAGGAGTGAATCCATGATGCTCAGCAAGCTGTCAATGAGCTCGCTGGTCAATGTCAATGCTCCTGGAATGCTCAGCGAGAGCATAGAGAAACCTAAATGAATACTTTGATGCGCAATTAAAATCTGAATCCATACAGATTTTCTTTTTTTCATTCATATTTTTATTTATTTATTTATTTGGTTCTTTTTATTTCCGTATGTTTTAACTGAAATGAATAAATCCTTTTTTAAAAATTCAGAGTTAAATACACATGAATGCACTTTCTTCTCATGTTTGTTAAATATGCGATTCTCTATGGAACTCGTCAAATTCTTATATCATGGAAACATTCTCTATTATGACTTGTAACGTTAAAGCTGGGTGCGATGATTCTTGCTACAGCAAGAAGTTAAATATAATTTTTTTTAAAAATATGAAACCGTAATATAAAATAAAAATTTTGAATAACATAATATAAAAAAGTCTGCGTTTTTGCCCCTTCAGAGCTGATATAGGAAACAAAAAATTTGTATAGTACTAAATAAAAAATTTAGAAAATATTCTTCCCAACAGAATAATATGAGAAATTAAAAAAATTAATTCATGGAGTTAATTGAAAGAAAACTGTAAATCGTATGAAATAAAGTTTTAAAGAGTTTTCGCTAAGCCAGAAGTAAAATATGAACTAAAAAAATGGGAAATTACACTACGTAATAAAAATAGCGAACGTTCACTTCAGCTAAAGTTATATATATATATATAATAAAAGTGTAAAAATTAATAATCTGAAATAAAAATCTGCGAAAGAAAACTGTACGTATGTATGAAATAAAACATACGTATGTATGAAATAAAAAATGTTATAAAATTTGTGTGGAACGTTTACTTTAGCTAACGTTATGTATATAATAAAAACGTACAAAATCAATTATCTAAAATAAAATTTTGCGAAAAAAAGTTATATGAACTAAAACAGGAAAATTATATAGATGTGCATATTTATACGAAATAAAAAATTTGAAACAAAATTTGAAAGACAAGAAATGAAGCTGTTTTAAATTAATCACATTTTACATTTCATTAACATTATTACAACGTGCCTGTCTAATTGCACAAAAAATTAGACATGATTTTCCTCAAATTATTTTATTTAGTACTTTTGACTTTGTAATCCTGTCTTAGCTATAAATCCTTTATTCAGGAATATAAAATAAACTAAATGGACATTAATTAAGCAACTATATAAATAAACAATAAACATGTATAGTTTTAATTCTATCTAATTAAGCACACAGATAAGTATACAAATATCTGCTTTCTCCTCTTATGTTATGGCAAAATATTAAATGAATTAATACTAGTTAGAATAATTAACTATTTTTTCATTTAATTTTTTTATTTCATAAGAAGAAGTATAAAATTATAAAATTTACTCCAGGAAAGAAAATTGCATACCTCTTAAGAGTGATTAATTCCAGGTTTGGGTTCTGATCATGGAGAAAATAAAACATCAATAAACTTTATTTTCAAATCGAACTGTAAATAGGAAGAAGCGGAAACCTCATTTAAAACTAGCACGATTGTTGACGAAATCGCAACATTCCTCGGTAAAGTTTTCGCGGAAAAAGTGCATTACAGGCGCACGAGACGAGAGCCGAAACGTTGTGAAGTGCCATCAGATGCATCGCTCACACGAGTGTTATTAAGAGCTATACACGAGCGCTATCTTGTGGCAGTTTCTAATTCCCGAAACGAATAAATGCAAGGATTCCTTCAGTGCGCCTACCTAAGCAACTAATTTCTTTGTGCAACTCAACTGATTTCATTGACAAATATATAAATAAAGGCTGACGAGAAGCATTGATATAAAAGTCCATTTCTTTCATTAATGCCTGAAAACTTCATTTAATTTTTACAGGTTTACAGCTTAAATTTAAGTCGAAATAAAGCGAATTTGTTCAATAATAATCTAAGTAATGATAGTATTTATTTTGTAGTCGAATGTTATCTTCTTAATTTTATTTTTGAAATGCAATTCTATTTTTTCTTAGATGGCACACTTAAGATAAAAAAATAATGAACGTCACTTATATGGATGTAGGATTTCGCTTCAGCTGATTCTTAGTAACTCCTGTATTTAAATCTAGTTTAAACTGTGAAATACTTGATTTTCTAGACTTCCGTCAATTCGTAGTAAATTTAATCAATCTTGAAAAGAAGAACAATTACCTCATACTTTCATAGCCTATATCATTTGTTTCAAACTGGTTAAAGAGAATGTCCCTTTTCACTGGCAGTAACATTGTCAGAAACTGAGAGTATAACCCTGCAGGTTCAATAAGAAAGACTACATATATCTTTGTGTTTATTCTCATGTAATAATTAAATAAGAAAAGTTGCTTTTAATTTGTTCGAAATAGCATTCTTCCCAGTATAGACAGCTATTCCTAGCATAGATAATAGTGCAAAATACTTGCTTCCTTTACCATAATGAAGTGTTTACCTATTTACCGTATGCAGTATTGAGGTAGATAATATTATCCAAATCTAGTGCTCATTTTATTTTTAAGTAACTCCTTTTTTTAATGCATTGTGCAGAAACGGAAAGTTTTAGTTTGATATAGCATAAATATTCCTCTTTTTGTCATCTGCTCAACACTCATCCTCCAAAACATTTTAGTGTGTCACTAAAAAACAAAGTCACTTTTACTGTATTGAAATTATTCCATCTTTTGCCATTACAAAGTATCCCAGAACTAGTTGGCCAAAACTAAAAGGTACAAGAATTAAGGTGCGCAACTGATACTCTAGGAACAAACAGCAGCAAATGGAAAGCTCCAGAGCAAATATGTTAAAGAGAAAAACTGATACCAATATAATATGCATACACCGTAATCTGTAATATTGAAACAGAATTCAGTGAAATAAATTACAGAAAATTCACGTGGATACGACAATAAAAGAAACGAAATTCATCAGGAGTGAATAAAAAGGAATATTGTTCCATAGGTTATCGTGCTTCAAAAAGGAGTATATGTTATTCCCTCGTTTGACGGCATCCTCAGTTCACTGGAACTCATCTGTTATGACAGCAAGAAGAACATAAAATTGCATCTTCATATATTTTATTATAACATTCTATGGATTGGAATAAGGGGATCGGACAATTCATCGATGTAGCTACTTTTTGCTAATGACTACGATGCACCTACTATTGAGCTTATGACTAAGATAGGCCCGATAATATGGTTCAAAATTGTGCAGGCGCTTTATCTTGCATGAGTCATACGAATTGACGTGTGGATAAAGGTAAAATTTCCAGTATCACCTGTAAGGTTTATCCTAAGTTTTTAACAGTTATTCTTAGTTAAAGCTGCTTTCTTATCCCTTCAAAATTCAGCTTACAGTATGTTTTTAGAATCGTGGTTAAATGCAAATGAAGGAAGAGCAGTACTTAAGTCGAAGTTCCACTGACTTCGTTCGAGAGCCAAAGATTCTGACTAGCACGTGTTCGCCTTTTGCCTACACTCTCTCTAAGCTATTACTACACTCGGCCGTATTCCAGGCCCTTGATAGTTTCGTCGGTTAGTTAAGATTTAGGGGCCAGCTCCTGTAGAATTGTGATAGCTTCGGCTATATCTTTTTAGGTAAGCATTAGTTAAGTTTGATTTTTTTAGTACTCTTAAGTTCAAGCCCAAGTAGGGGCTTATCTGTACGTCCTGAGAAAGGGCCATCTGATCTTTGTTTTGAGCAATGAAGGGTAATTAACCCTTCTTGAGTTTACGTTTCTGTTTCCTGAGCTAAAGCGATTATTCGCTTACCAGTTAGTTCTCAAGGTTCCACACACATAGCTATAACTTTAAGGTTGGAACCTTATACACTAACAGTTTGTGTATTTATACACTAACAGTTTGTGTGTGTGGAGCGAAGACGTCTACCTCTTCAAGGCGCTGATGACAGAGAATGAAGTCCTGTGAGATCATCACTGATGAGAATGGAAGCATGCTTGATGCCGACTTTGGGCAGTGGCATGAAGACTAATTGTAGATCAGTGATCTATATTGTTAAAGGATATTGTCACAAAGGGGATTATTTGTAAACAGCTTGACAAAGAAAAAGGGAGAATTTTTACTTATTTCGAATAGCATAGTGGATATGTTGCCCACTCTAAGTCTCAGTCGGCGTATGTCTGAACATTGCGTTTGTTAGATATATCTTTGCATTTGTCTGCAAAGGAAATTCTTAGTGTTGGTTGGTACTTGGTCTGATACTCGTCTAATAAACTTTTGAGATAAGAGTTATCGCTAACGCTGATTAAGAACGCTGATTTTTGTTGCTTGACTTCTAAATTAATAAGAGTTAATTTAGCATTTTGTTGTAACAGTACTTGTACGTCGCGGTGCTATCTGCAGGCTGCCAATAACGCAATTTTACACACCTACTGGTGGAATGCTTGGAATATCGCTTTGTTGACACATCATAAGTTGAGATATGTTCATCAGTACAAGCATGAACTTCCGCGAATTGCAGATCTTATTTATGACGCATGACATCATATTGCGAATTCGAATAGTGAGGCATCGTACAGCTGTCGGTTGTTCCTTCAAGTATAAAACTGGATTGCGGAAGTAAGAATAGCTAATAGTTGCGCAATTTAATATTTATCTTTAATTATAAGCCTCAAGCATCTACTCTTTATGGCACTTGCTTTGTAGAAAACTCCTGACAGCGGAGCTATACAGCAGTGGGTCTGTTGCTATCGGCTGTACTGCGCCACGCATTCGCATTCCCTATAGCAATTTGATACTGGCTACTATATTTTGCCTAGTGGTGTTTTTCTTTGGGAAATATTACAGTAACCAAAATTTCAGTTAAAAATATATTAATTTGGCCTTTTTGACTTAATAATTAATGTATCTGGGTTTTATCGATAAGTGATAAATGGTTAATATAATTATACTAAGATACATGATTTTTCATCAGAGTATGTATGCCTTCGCGGTTAGTCATAAAAATTTAAACCTCAGCAAGATTCAAAAGGAGAATGGAAATTAGAATTTATACATCTTAGACACAATTGGCAATATGCAAAGTCTGACTTAATTCTCATTTAATTAATGACTTTAAGTTTTACCATTGTGTAAAGTGCATGTCATTCTTCATTGCTGAAATATTAAGCATTTAGCTCAGCCATAAGTTCATGTAATATATTTAATTTAAAACTTATTATTATAGGTATGCAGTTTAATACTGAGAACCTAAATATTGATAAGTCTGAAGATTTTTCAGATACAGCATACCACAATATAAATGATTAAAGATACCATAAAAGAGATCTATGCAAAATCCTTGGTTTTATTAGAACCAATTTTACGCCACGAGTGATTACAATCTATTAAGCAATAAGATGGTTTCGTTATTTTAACTTTCTTATTTTTGCTCAAGAAGTGCTTTAATTTTTTTGGAACTTTTCAAGTGCATTCATGAGTTAACTCATCATTTGAGTAAGAAGTATAATTTTAGACCGTTTGAATGCCTTTCCTTTAAGATACTAATTTCTGATATAAAATGAGAAATGAACATCTCCTTTAACCTTGAACACTTAAAAATCATTGAAATTTAAAAGTAGTTTTAGTGAAAAAGTTTGATATGCTTCGGAAACTAGTATTCTGTTACTAAAAAGCATTAGTTAATAATTTACAATTACTACGATTAAAGAAATGCATTAGAAGGTTGATACTATACAAACAAATATTAGTCATTTGGATATATAATGACTTCGTCCAACTATTATTTCTCCTTATTTTAATAAAAGCTTGCTCGTATTTGTTGGTTCAGTATGCGCGACTTCTCTTATCCGTAGTTCAGAGCTGCAGAAAAACGTATTGCTATAGATTTGTAAGTTTCGAAATTTAAGCCATGTGTAACAATTCGTAGCAAAGCCGAAACATTATATCAGCTCGTATATCTTCAATGCTGGCTTCCTAAGCGTCTGCACGCTCGTTTAAACCCAGTTTAATAACGTGAATGACACTACTTAAGTTATTTGGAAACTACTGATGAATCTTTGAGTAATAGACTAGTATGAAATATATTTTTTAACACTTATTCAATAATATTCTGTGTACTGTATTGTTATTTAAGAGATACTTTATTGCTACATTAGTACATAGCAGGGCATGACATGCAAATGTTAGAATCCCCGAGTAATAGTGCATACGTAAGCTGAGAAGCTCCTTCTACATTGTCGTGTTAGTTATATAAATGGAGGGCTGTAAACTTAACATTAAAAGTAATGTTTCATTGTCAGCCAACCATGGTTACTACGAATTACTATACCCCGTCTATAACAAAAGCCTTGATATAAACAAAATGTTTGAAAAAGACGAATAATAGGCATAGGAGAAGGAACCTTTTTCTATCAAGAAATCGCAACTCCTATGAGACATAACCGCCTTGTCGATGATATGTTTGTGAAATGTAGTGAAATGCAGATGTGGACAAGTCCTAATCATGACAGTGAAAACACCGAAATGTTATGTCAACATGGGAAAAGACGCCTCTTTGATATGATAGTGTCGGACCGTACAGGTTCATCTTGTCATTTCACGTTACGTTTGAGCATTGCTACTCAGTGTGTC